CTCATCCATGACTCAGAACACAGCAGCCTTCAGCACCCCCACCAGCACTGATCATGTCACCCAGGCAGCAGAACTCATCCACACAATCCAGGGATAATCTTCAGTGATGAATTTCTTCAGTCTTGCCATGGACACATATTTACCTGCACATACATATCACTTACAATCAGCAACATCTTGCAGTCTTCCATCCACTCCATTGCACTTCTTGTGAACCCACCTTCCTCACTCACTGCCAATATCTTTCTGACTGATAGCATAGATATAGATGAGACAGAAACTTGTATAGATAAAGACAGTCTGACAGATGATATAGATACCAAACAGACAGACTGACTGACATGCAGGTTTTGGAAGACTGATAGAAAGATATAGAGATACAGATACATAAAGATAGACAGTTAGACATACCTAGAAAAATTGAGATATTGACATACCTGTAACAGCAGTGTCTCCATGATCCAGTTGTTAATTTGTCAAGGTTTAGACGTTAACTCATCTGTAACAAACAAACAAAAATACATTTAATATACAAAGCAGTTTATAATAAAAATAAATCCATGAATTAATAGTCATCCAGTACTGCAATTGTTTGTTTTATGCAAGTTTGGTTTATGTGAATTTTCTTGGGACTGTAAACCTTGCATGCTTAACAAACTTTTGTAATTTTTGCCTTAATATTCCCAGCTAAATTAGTGGAACATTAATACAGTAGTTAGATACATAGACAGGTAGATATAGATAGATTGGGTGATAGACAGACATAGAATGAGATGAAAATATAAAAATAGATACTGACAGATATACATAAGTTAGATAGATTTAATGACTTAGACAATTTTAAAACACTTTTCTTCTATGATGTTTCCCTCGCAAATGACCTAACCGAACCTCCTAATGAGGGGCTCCATCCCCTTGGATCCCATGATATACAATACAGTATTTAAGTTTTTTTGTGAGGGAAACGTCACAGAAGAAAGTGTCTTAAAATTGTCTAAACCACCGAAAAAACAAATTTGTCCTCAATTGGTTGACATTAGGACAAGAAATATTTACATTATGTTATACACATTATATAAACACTCGAAGTGGGTGATTACCTTAAGTGGCAATGTCGGAATTTATATTACATCAGACTACAGTAATATTTCCGTTAACTGGAATCCCTCAAACCAGCAACTCTCCGATAGCCGGAATTGAAATTTTCTTGGAAAATAATTCCCAAAGCCAGAATTTTCCGGAAAATTCCTGCTTTGGGAACGATTTTCCGAGGGGCACATTTTCCGGAAAATTCTGAGATTTTTCCGATACCCGCGCCTAGAAATTCCGAGGATGGGGGAGTTTTTTCCGGTTTTGAGAGATGAAAATCGGGCACATTTTACGGAAATTGCGAGAAAATTTTTTCGGTAACCAGAAAATTCTGGGCACGGAGGATATTGTTCCGGGTTCAAGAGATGACGTAATGGCCAATTTCTGGAACTTCCGATAAAATTTTTTGTTACCTGGAAAATTCCGGGGATGAGGGATTTTTTCCGACTTTGAGAGAGTCGTCTCGTGACCCAGAAATCTCTCATTCCCTGAAGCGTTCTGCACCAATTGTTCCGGCTAACGGAGATATCACCGTACGTACAAAGTATAAAGTTAGGATATCCTACAATATAAATATGATATTCAAGGTTTGCTGATGTGGATGGAGGTCAGGAATTAATGGTAGGCTTAGTTGGTGAGCACCTCCATGATCACTGGCTTTTATTGAAGGTTGTGTTTCTCTGGTCAGGATCGATAAGGAACTGACGATGGCAGGTAATTTGACATTTAATGGTAGCTGGTAGGATGTGCGCGCAGACAAAGGAATGTAGACTCACACAAGACTATTATTTAAATCAGGAGAAATTATTTACGATTCAGGTAACGATTAAATATTACTTTAACTAAATATAACCTAAATTAAATTAAACATATCTTGATAAAATCACACAGGAAAAATGGAAACAATGGAGCACCTTAGCTTTTGTCTTTATTCAAGACATCTTCAGAGGCAACTGAATTACAAGAACTGAGAGAGGCTTATGTAATTCAGTTACCTCTGAAGATGTCTTGAATAAAGACAAAAGCTAAGGTGCTCCATTGTTTCCTTTTTTCCTGTGTGATTTTAAAAAGATTTATCTTATCCACATTTCCATTGTGGATCTACATGAAATATGCAACAAATATATAACCGGGCGATTAGTTTGACGTTGTTAATAGGGAAATTTCTTGAATCGATTTTAGCAAATAGCATCTGATCGCATTTAGAGAAAACAAATTAATCTACAACTCTCAACATGGATTTACAAAGGGAAAATCTTGTCTAACAAACCTGCTGACGTTTTTTATGAAAGTCTATGAGGTAGTAGATAATAACGAAAATTACGATGTTATTTACTTAGACTTTAGCAAAGCATTTGACAGAGTACCGCATCAGAGGCTTCTGAGAAAAGCTAAGGCTCCTGGTATCGAGGGGGCTGTTTTAAATTGGATAAAATCATGGCTCACCGATAGAACACAGAGGGTCAGCGTAGATGGTTTTAAATCTGAGTGGGGCTGTGTAACTAGTGGGATTCCCCAGGGGTCAGTCCTGGGCCCACTCTTGTTCATGATCTACATAAATGATCTACATACTAGTGTCATGGTCACGTTGACTGCTGATCTATTTAACTAATGATTCTTATTAAACTCCACGACCGCAAAACATGAGTGAGTTAGCGACCCCTGAGAAGACGTGTTTTTCCCCATAGACGCTACACTTGCGTTTCCCTCCCAGAGTCCCGCCTTTGTGAAGACAGTTATCAATGCGTTGTTATTCCACTTTCTCCTGGGAAGCTCAATCTTGAATTAGTCTGTGTAAATCAACTCAAGTAATTTGCCACACCTTTGTCAACTGAGGGTCATCTTTGAATGAGTAACAGTTAGTTTGTTTGTGATTATTGTCATTGCGTGAGTAGCAATCACTGGCAACTCAGGGGTATTTATACCCGTGAATCGCGCAGGGCAAGCGTCCCCTGACCCTCTCCAACGTTTCTCCAGGTATGTTTATGTGTAGCCATTCAGTTAATTCAGTCAATTGTAGTGAATATCAGTGTTCATGCTTTAACAGTTGAATTGTCATTCACCCAGTGTAAGAAGTAATATAACTTAAATACGTCTGTCGTCTAGACAAGAGAGTTGTTTGTGTTGTCATGCTTCCCAGTCCGTCCCCTGACGCTGCTCCAACGTTTCTCCAGATCCCATTGTGATTCTTGCATCGCTCAACAACTCAACAACTGCCCCGGATGTAGTAGATACCCAGCAGGGACCATATATGAAACGATGGCACCGATGCGGCCTGATAAATGTGCTTCACTGCCTCGTTGGGCCAGACCCCAGACTCGCCATGTGTCTGGCTACTGTACTACCAACCACAACAACGGTCGTGAGCCCCAGTGTTCTACCCTGGGTTACTCCTTGGAAGTATATGTCACAGAGAGGGTTGTAACATGTATGTTAGGGATAATTAGTTGGAAATAATTGTCCCATATTGGGTAGTGGACCCCTGTATATGCTAGTGTCAGTATTAACGTGTATGTTGAGGAAAGTAATCTACAATGAGTGCCATGTACTATGTATTGTGAGTAGGGCCAAGGAACTGGTCCTGCTATGCCATGTAATGTAACACCAGTAATGTTGTGTGCAGTAAGAATGTAAGATCTGAGTAATACTGTTGAGTAAAGAAATAAGAAAATATGTAAATAAGAAAATAAGTAAAGAAGAAAGTACTGAGTCTGCAATAAGCCCAGGAGTTGAGCCTGGTAGTCATATGATTAATAATATATCTTTTCCCCTTGATTTCATATTAATAAAATTGTTTTTAGAGTACTTTAGGTGTATTTATTTCTCCCACAGTATTTTACCTTTATTTCCATCCAAGTGACTTGATACCAGAATTACCATACCCATGTGCCTAGACCCTCGACCATGCTACCAAAAGAATGACCATGCTGCCAAAAGAATGACCATGCTACCAAAAGAATGACCATGCTACCAAAAGAATGACCATGCTACCAAAAGAATAGGTGACAGAACTTAGTAAGAGTAAGAACTAAGAGAAGTAAGTAAGATGAGGGTGGTGTAGAGGTGTTGTTGTGGGAAACACGCGCCCTCACACTAGGATCAGCAGTGACATAAGCAAGTTTGCAGATGACACCAAAATAGGGCGGCAGATTAATTCAGGGCAGGATGCAAATGCACTACTGGAGGATTTAAATGAACTGCAGGAGTGGTCAGAGAAATGGCAAATGAAATTCAACACCAGCAAGTGTAGTGTACTTAATATTGGAAGAACAAATACTGTAAACGTATGCAGCCTTAACAACATCAAGCTAGAGAAGTCGACTTGTGAAAGAGACCTAGGGGTACTCGTAAGCCCGGACCTTTGGCCTAGAAAACAGTGCGTTAATGTTCGAAATAAGGCAAACAGAGTATTAGGTTTCACATCTAGAAGGGTAAATAATAAGAGTGCGGAGGTTATATTGCAATTATACTTTGCGCTAGTCAGGCAGCACCTCAATTATGCTTTTCAGTTCTGGTGCCCTTATCATAGAATGGATATCAATTCACTGGTGTCGGTGCAGCGAAGAATGACAAAAATTATTCTGGGACTTAGAAAATTTCGCTATCATGATAGATTAAAGAAACTAAACCTGCATTCCCTAGAAAGACAAAAAGTGCGGGGAGATATGATAGAAGTATTTAAGTGGGTGAAAGGAATCAATAAAGGAGATATAGAGAAAGTTCTTATAATATCCGAGCAAGATAGGACTCGTAGCAATGGATTTAAGTTGGATCAGTTTAGGTTTAGGAAGGAGATAGGAAGAAACTGGTTCACAAATGAGTGGAACAAGCTTAGCAACTTTGTAGTAAGTGCTGGGGCGCTGGAAAGTTTTAAAAGGAGACTAGATAGATTCATGGACGATAGAGGGTGGTTGTAACTCCCGACAGGAGCTGCCATGCACAGGCCAATCGGCCTATTGCAGACTCCTTATTTTCTTATGTTCTTAACTCCCTAGTTAAATTTCTTACATTATTGCTACCGTTCTGCTATTCAACATACAGTATTAGGTTAATGGTTACGATAACATTGCTCAACTCAAGAGCCATATTGGTTGAAATGTAAATTTACCGACTTGTATTGGTAAATAGATTGACAGATACAGTATATAGTAGATAAAACAGACTGAGATAGGTATTGATAGATATACTGAAAGGCACAAAAAGACAGACAGACACACAAACACACATAAACAGTTAAGTAGATAGAAAGATATAAATGGAAGACAGACAGGGGGACAAATAACTCCTTTAGTTTACCTTGCCATATGTGGTGGTGGTGGTGCTGTGGTAGTAGTGGCGGTGTTATAGTGTTCATAGGAATTAAATTCTACAATGTTAGCTCTTTGTCTCAGCTTGCAGTTATCATTTTCAGCTGTGATGGTGCTGCTCAATTTCCTAAGGTTTAGTCGTTAACTCATCTGTAACAATAAATAAATAAAATAAAATAAAATAATATACACAATAGTTTATGATAAAAATATGTCCATAAATTAATAGTCATCCAGTACAGAAGTTGTTTGTTTTATACATTTGGTTGATGTCAACTTTCTTGGGACTGTAAGCCTTGTATGCTTGATATAATCTGTCATTTTTGCCTTAATATTCCCACCTAAATTGGTGGTACATTTAATACAGTATTTTAGACAGATATATATACAGTAGAATGCTAGTTATCCGGCACCTACAGTGCACAGTGTACAGTCTGACCTCACAAATTCATGTCTCAGAAAAAAACACTTTTTTAACACTAATTAAACTCCATATAAATGACGTGGCTTATAAATAAAGAAAATATAATAAAAAACTACACAAAGGTACTACTTTATATGCTGATTAAGGATCTGGGTTCATAGTTTAAAAATTCAAGTAATTAGTGTTAATTAATGACCTTTGAAATAATTAAAGATATTTAGAATATCTAAAAAGTCAATTATGCTGTGAATGCAAGTTTTAAATCATCTTTATATACATTCTCTAAATAATAAATAAATAATGACAGATATTGGTAAGCCATATGGATAGACATACAGTACATAGATTGACAGACTGACAAATACTTGTACTGTATTGATAAATAGATTGACAAATATAGATAAAACTGATTGAGATGGGTATTGGCAGATAATGGACAGATAAATTGATAGATATACTGAAAAGCACAGAAAGACAGACACACGAACATACATAAGCAGTTAGATCAGTGGTTCCCAACCTGTTCCGTTCTGTGACCCCCAGACAAGATATGATAACTTCCGGTGCCCCAGTCTAAATCTTTCTTCGATGAAACAAACTAAACGTCGCTGGAATGAGCAGTTGGGTGTGATACTTTAATATTTTATTATTATTAGTGGTATAAACAGTACCAGTAGCTACAGGGACAATATAAAATATAAATGCCATACAATAAAAGATTCCAAGTCATGGATAGTTTATGTGAACAATATAAACCACTGTTGTGTCTGCAGTAAATGCTGTGTACAGTATTATAATCTCACATAAATAAACTCAACTCCACAACAACTCGGGTACTCAAAACTAAGGATGCTGTGTATGTGTGCATAATTTACGCACAGACAAAAAGAACATTAAAAAAGTTAATTAAAACTCAGTGGGTTAGCTGACATTGGTTTTTGTCACCAATTGTGGCATCAGTGGTTTAGTCACAGCCAGGGCACAGTCGAGGCCATCTTCCACGTGGAGTCGATATATGAGTTTTTATTTGATGCTGAACAGCGTGAAAATACCTGCTTCACAGAGACAGGTAGACGAGAATGGCAAAGCACCAGGATAACCAGTTTGCTGATAATAAGGTAGCGGACCATTGCCACCCAGAACTCTGTCAAGCACCATTAGCTCAGATGGTTTAAACCAGGGGTCAGCAACCTTTATACATTAATCAGCCACATTATAAACAAGAAATCAGCCAACACAGTATTTATGCAATGTACATTAAATAAAACTTGAAATTGAGCATTAAGCAGTATAGAATTAAACTTTATACTGTACCGGTACTGTATTCAGACAAGTACTGTAATGGCATACGGAAATTTTGTTTGAGTATCCTAATGGGTGGTAATAAATACTAATACAACAAAATTATGATTCACATAGAACAATACAGAGGAAATAGTTACTATGACGCGCATTCAATTCAATTGAATAGAATATCCTCTGCAATTTTTGTGAAATCTGGTTCAAATTTAGTAAAAGCTACTACAGTACCACAATTGCCTTTCTTATGACTGTCAAAGAGCTTTAAGAGGTACAGTACAGTACTAAGTCTTTACACAAGTCAACACCTTAGCGTTACCTGATTCACATTTATTTTCTCCAAAGTCTAACAATGACTTGCAGTTTTGTGAATATGTTTCAGGATATTAATCTGCAGATCCAAGATCTACAGCTGTGCATCACCAAGAGCACAGTACTACCACGTTGGAAACACCGCTTCTTGTCTGAATATTGAAGTTAAGCAATGTTAATACTGTACCTAGAGAGGAGACTGCCTGGCCCTAAGAACACCACATGCTCTTGGCATAAAGAATCTACTGGAAATAAGTATCTCATGGCTTTGTCAGCTGTCCTTGGTCAAATTGTCTGCATATTATCTTTAACCTCATCAATATATGGCTGACAATGATTGCCCATGTCTGCTGCTAAACAAAAGGATTTAAAGCAGATTTTCAACAGTAATTGTTATACGTACTTTATGGACTAGCATTGTCAGGTATAATTTACCAGTTTAACAAAGAGTATCAGATTAGGTGTTTCCTGCATCAAGTGTTCCAACATCCTTATCTTACCTTATCAACTTAGCCGGCCACTCATCACATATTTTAGATGTTATAATGCCAGCCACAAATATGAAGGTAGTAGACCCTTGGTTTAAACTCTGGCACTCTGCTAGGAGGGTCAAGCCATGATTAGCTTTATTATGAACACGTGGTTCAAATTACTCCCACGGACAACAGGCTGGGAGCCACTGACTGTTATATAGATAGAAATATATAAAAAAGGAAGACCGACAGACAGACAAATGACTAACAGCAGCACATTTACAACAACTTGTCTTAGGAGTTTGACGGGCACAAAGACTTCCTGTATAGGCTATAAGAGCTGTTCCTATAGTTTACCTTGCCATAGGTGGTGGTGCTGTGGTGGTGGCAGTGATGATAGTGCCATGGTGATGGTAGTGTTGGTGATAGTGCTGGTGGCAGCTCTCGTTCCATGCTCCAGTTATCATTTTCATCTGTTATGGAGCAGTTCAATTTCCCAAAGTTTTGTTGTAACATCTGTAACAAACAAAAATTATATTTACAATAAAAACGTTGGGGAGGTGAGGTTAGGTTAGAACCAGACATAAAATGGTTTATATTGACGACTGACCTGCGGACAAGTTATTTGTTTTACTGTTTATTTTCTTACATTATTTTCAACAAATAGTGAGTTCTGTTATGATAATCATTTTTTGTGCAAATGCTTTGTTTTGTACATAATTAGGCGCCTAAGGTGCACTACTGTGTCTTTCCGGCAGTAATGCGGCCGTGTTCTTTCCAGCGCCAGTTTCATTTTCAGCGTGACGTGGCGTGTGAAGTTTGTTGCCAATCTTGTGCTACAGTTCTAGTGCTTATAAAGGAACTTGGCTTGAAAATGCCAAGATTAAACCCAGTATTGTACTTTTATTTATAAACATCTTTCTAGCAAAGTACTTTTCACAGCAATACTGTGAAGTTGAACTGGGTTTGTGTGCAAAGTCTGTTTTGTATGACGTACAGTATTTCAAAACACTCCGCCGCCCGGGCTGGATCAAAGCCGAGCTCTCACGTTCACAAAAACGTTAAATTACACCATAACATAGTAAGTTCCTTCTGTTTAATACTGTATACCAGGGGGTCTGGGTAAGGATGTTAGGTAAGGTTAAGTCTGTTTGTTTGGCTAGGTTGGTGAAGTCTGTTTTTCATACCCACTAAATTTAGGTTAGGTTTAATTTACAAATAACCATTTTTTAACACATTTGTACAAACTACAACAGTGTCTACTATAGAAAATAGTGATTTGCGGCATTTTAAAAATAATTTTCTATGAAAAGTCGACCGTCGGTCAGTCATCAATACTTACCATATATCAGTATATACATACATAAAACATACCAGTATGTATATACATACTGTATATGAAATATACCCATATATATACATATATGAAATATACCAGCACTGTACAGTATATACATATATAAAATATGCCAGTATATACATATATTTAATATACCAGTATATACATATATAAAATATACCAGTAAATACATATATAAAATATACCAGTATATACATATATAAAATATACTAGCATATACACATATGAAATATACCAGTGTATATATATACAGTATATATATATATATATAATAGGTATTATTGCAGTTTCGGCCAATACTCAGCTGACTGTTTTAACATCCCCAACCTTTAAATCTCCCTATTTGGAGTATTTTTAACCCCATTTCAACCAGGAGGAAAGAATAATAAAGTCAGAAATTAATTTTAAAGTTTTCCATACTTTTTAGGGGGATAAACTCTAAAACGGGTACTTTCCCCAGGAAATAAAGGTCAAATTCGATTAAATCACACCAAAATATACACAGGATAAACTAATTTCTAAAATACTGGGCATATTGGCCCAAACTGCAATTTTACCCAAAATACATCAGTATTCATTTACCAGGTGGAAATAAGATACATGAGACAATTACGGATACTTACAAAATGTTACCACAGCTTACGCCAAGAACGCCTCTGTTTTGTGTTCACAACAAGCCGGGCGTTTATACTCCTAAAGCAACAAAAGGTGCCCTGGTGCCAGTCATAACAATACTGTATTATTGGAGCAACATTAAAGAAATTACACAAAAATTTCCTCCCACCAAGGTGTCCTCTCATAATATTGCTATTACTTGCACCAGGTCACCTTTTGTTGATTTAGGACGTAATAATTCATATTTCCAGTTTTAAAATCCAGATAAAAGTTTGTTGACGTAGTAGAATTCACATGAGAGAAATTTGTGGACAGAATTCATCGAGAAGTTTCTCAAGTTTGTTCCTAAGGGTAAAACTTGGTGGCTCTCGGCCATTTTTTTAAACACTTCCCCATATATATATATATATATATATATATATATATATATATATATATATATATATATATATATATATATATATATATATATATATATATATATATACATATATATATAAAAAGTTGATCCTGATAAATAATACTTCACCTCAGTACCTAGGACATGAACCCAACATGTCTTTGTAATTGATAAACTTAAAAACCTTTATCCTTTTAACCCATAACTGACCCTTTTGTAGAATTTATGAAGAATTTTCCTTACAATAAGTTTGAATTGATGTCTCATTGTTAAAATTTTATCCTTTTTATATCAGATCCAGTTAAACATCCAAATCACATCCTAATTTACCAGTGAGTAAATAATGAAAGGTTAATACTAATAACAAATGACACTTGCTCATCCATCATCAAATTCCCAATTTGTTGTTGTTATAATGGAATTACTGTGCTTCAACAATGAAGCATAACTCTAGTAGGTCAATCTATATGACACATAACTCTAGTAAGTCAATCTACATGACACATAACTCTAGTAGGTCAATCTATATGACACATAACTCTAGTAAGTCAATCTATATGACACATAACTCTAGTAGGTCAATCTACATGACACATAACTCTAGTAAGTCAATCTATATGACACATAACTCTAGTAGGTCAGTCTATATGACACATAACTAGTAAGTCAATCTATATGACACATAACTCTAGTAGGTCAATCTACATGACACATAACTCTAGTAAGTCAATCTATATGACACATAACTCTAGTAGGTCAATCTATATGACACATAACTAGTAAGTCAATCTATATGACACATAACTCTAGTAGGTCAATCTACATGACACATAACTCTAGTAAGTCAATCTATATGACACATAACTCTAGTAGGTCAGTCTATGACACATTACTCTAGTAGGTTAGTCTATATGACACATAACTCTAGTAAGTCAGTCTATATGACACATAACTCTAGTAGGTCAGTCTATGACACATTACTCTAGTAGGTCAGTCTATGACACATAACCCTAGTAGGTCAGTCTATATGACACATAACTCTAGTAGGTCAGTCTATGACACATAACCCTAGTAGGTCAGTCTATATGACACATAACTCTTGTAGGTCAGTCTATATGACACATAACTCTAGTAGGTCAGTCTATATGACACATAACTCTAGTAGGTCAGTCTATATGACACATAACTCTAGTAGGTCAGTCTATGACACATTACTCTAGTAGGTCAGTCTATATGACACATAACTCTAGTAAGTCAGTCTATATGACACATAACTCTAGTAAGTCAGTCTATATGACACAGCTCTAGTCCGCTCTAAGCCCCACTAGTGAACCCCTGAACCTCTCGCTGAGAACAACTGAACCACATTGTTAATGAGACTGATATTTCACACCCAGTCCTCCATGATGGCCATATTCAATGTAAGTATGTCAATCAGTATAGGCTATAGTACTGCATACATCAATTATACGGGAAAATTGGGACTGGAAACAAAAGAGTCGGGAGTTATCCCAATTTTAGAAATAGGTCTATAATATTCATAAAACATAAATTACCTTATTTATCTAATGACTCCCAACTTGAGGTCACTATGCCGTAGGAAGGAAGCTGCATAGGATCCTTATACATTGGATGAGGTCCCCGCAGATGACCCTGGAATGAAATCGCTATATATAAATTTTGTTACATAAAACCGTGATTATTATCAATTAAAGAAAAAAAAAGTATGGTTAATATAGTATATAGTTGTATTATAAAGCTACCAGTAATATAATGCACAATGCAGAGTGAAAGTATTACGTGTGTGTGTGTGAAGGCGTTTATCTTGTGTGTTAAATTTAGGTGTGTTGTAGTGATGAATGTGTTCTCATTGCTGTTAAGTTTTGTACATTTTTAACTTTAACCCCTTCACTTCAGAAACGCCACTTTCAATATTTTATTCAGCACAGAGAATACCGTTCACAAGTGGTTAAATTAATTGGTTTAAAGTTGCATAACACTGATTTTAAGACTCATATACACATTGTACAGGGGCGGATCCAGGATTATAAAAAAGGGTGGGGGGGAGGGCTCCAAGAAGTTGTGGGTAGGGGAACATGGTGAGCACAGCGAGGCCATCCAGAAAATATTTTGAAATTTGACCAATATTATGGGCATTTTGAGGCCATGTGACGATATTAGGAGATATTCTGAGGTCAATAGTAATTACTTTTTACGATACAAAAATGTCTGAGTACAATACTGCATTCAAGAAAAAGTATTGAAATTTTCTTATGAAAAGGGGGGTCCAGACCCCAGGACACCCCCCTTGGATCCGTTCCTGCGAGACACACAGTATAATATATATATATATATATATATATATATATATATATATATATATATATATATATATATATATATATATATATATATATATATATATATATATATATAGCCTTTTTTTACACACACACACACACAGTATCGTGGCAACTCTAAACGCCTGACCCTCTTAAATACTTTATCAAGATAAATTCGTGTGGGGCAGAAAAAACACGAACATTAAGGCAGTTTTCATGTTGTTGGGTTTGTTATTCACCACTTCCTTTTCATCACTACACTATATCATTCTCAATCTATTACGAAAATTGGAAACTATTAATACAAATTCGCATACTGTAGTGACTTTCACGCAGTCATTCTAAAACCGAGGCTCCTTGTAAGGCCTCATCTCAGATAGTTTATATTTAGTTGCACTGATATAATTATTTAGTTAAATGAAACAAAGGGGTATAGAAAAGTAGTCAGAATTTACAAGAAGTTAGACTATGAGACAAATTATGTGGATCCAATGGATAAAAATTTTTAGGAACGTGGTGACGGGAACTGCGGTGGTAGGGCGAAGCGTGCAGATGGTCTGTATTGATCCAAGGCGGACTCAACACGCAATGCAATACACACCCACCTTCCCTCATGACTGAAATGGAGTGCATTCGGTCCCAGGGTGCACCTTATATCACCTAATTTGGATTGTTAGTTGCAGTCAGCAATCAACTGAGCATTAAACGACGAAAATTATGATCTTTAAACTCAATTTTCATTCTCCAAAATCGTGAAGGTACACGCTGTGACCGTAACCACATAGGCGCTGCAAAGTCTCCAAAGATTAACAAATCCTGGAAGAATGCCTGGAAAATCCTGGAGAGTTGGGGTGCGCGAAGTAATGGCGACAATTAGTTCCAGCGCACGAGCAGAAACACCAGTGGCTTCCGGAGTCTCCAGCTGGCAGAGGTACGATGACGCACGACACACCTCTGCTCCCACCACCTCCTCCAGGGGGTCGCCCACAAACTCATACTGTGACACCATGTTGCAGTTAAGACGTGTTGGGCTGAAGTCTTATTAACAACATTACTGCGATCGTAATGATGGAATTAATGGCCATTATTGGTGCAACTTCCTGGTAAATTCTCCAGACTCTTGGGGGTGTGCAAGTATTAGTCCCTCCTAACCTCTGAATTCTCTATTTGCATAGTGTCTTTTTCTGTTCATCTAGTGATTAAAAGTAGGAAATTACTCCCAAAGGAAAAAGTCACATCCAGTCTAGGTGGTACTGGTATTATGTGCTTGAGGATAGTGAGGGCATGAGAGATTAAAAATATGATGCGGTTAAGCAGTGTACAGGGGTGAGATGGCGCGAGATGCTGTCATCCGAGGAAAATGGCGGAGTACGGGAGGAAGCGGGGAAGATGCCGGCGGCCTCCAGACCACCTCACCGTGCGATATGACAACACCCCAACCCACACATCTCCTCCCCCCACCCACTCCATCTTGAATCTTATCCATCAACTTACTTTCAGACGGGAAAATATTGAATAACACGACAAATTATACGTCTAGATGCTTGTAGCCCTTTCTCAGTGGGAGGAAATCGGAAGGAAATAAAGTGAGCACCTGCACCATCACGCAGGGGAGGGAGGGAGGAAGTGACAGCCACCCCTCCTCCTCCCTACACACACACAAGGAGGCACCTGCTTTATAAATTACTCCCAAACTTCCCCTTAACATGGTTGGGGGAGCCGAGCCTAACCACTATCATGGGCCAATAGGAGTGAGTGTAAGGCGTGACGTGGCTGTTCTCCACCACCCTCCATAACCCAACACATAAAATGACAATACTGTAGCTGTCCTCCGAGGGCTGGAGACATGCTATAAGGGCGGATCCCGTCTCCACCTACAACGCTCATAAGGATGCTTTTATGAACACCAAGCGGGGAGCATCGTGGCATCTCAGTAGCTGTGGGATAGCACCGTGATGCCCCGAGAAGCGTGCTAGAACTGCCCCTTGGGTTGTGAGTGTCAGAATCCTTTCCTATTGGTGGACTGCTGGGGACGGTTTATAAGTGTACGAGTTGCCTGTTCCCGCTGACACACACACACACCCACTTGGAGAAATAATTATATAAATCTTCAAAATGTTCGTCTCATCCGACAGATTCCAACAACCTTAGAGTATAGTGTATGGTATGAAGGTCAGTCTCAAGAGATTCTTAAGTTTCTTACCCATAGAGAGATCCCACACCAGAGGCCCGAGTCGTCCACATCACCACTGTTAGAGGAACCTGTTTGAGTGTGTGAAGAGGACGTTTACGAGTGTGTATCTATGGATAAAAAAGAAAACCCCAAAGTTATGCTAAACCTGAACACCTGAACCATTTATCTGCCCCACACACAGAGACAACGTATCATAAACAAAAGCATGTTAAATCTGAACCCCATGATGTTACCCAGATAAATTGAGTCACGGTTTATTTATCCATTATCTTAGCGGCCATCTTTTGTGTCATTGCTTCATTCAACTTGACGGTCAAATAAGTTAATGAATCCACAACAACAACAGACATTCACAGAAGACGTAAATTTGGTCTAACAATGGAACACGCATTCATAGTTGACTTAGATATCCCCTCATAGACGCAACTGGCTATAGAAATGTGTCAAGCCGTCCAATGCTTAGACAACAAGTATAGAAACAGTCATATACTTGTTTACATTCTCATATTATTTCATCTTGTAAGACCCCGGATTCAGGGACCATCTCACAAGACCCTGTTTATAAGGATCATCTTGCAGGGTCTCGTATTTAAGGACTCACAGGACCCCGCTTTTAAGGACTATCTTACAGGGACCCGCTTTTAAGGATTATCTCACAGGGTCCCTTATTTAAGGATACTCTCACAGCACCCCGCCCATCTCATAGGACCCCCTTCCTTCGTCAGGCCGGAAATGGAAACTTAACACACAAGACACGATGATTTAACACAGAAGGATAACAAAAAGAGGCGAAAAAATTCCCCCGACAATAACACAAGATCATAGCGGATGTAAGGTGAGAAAAACAAGCAAAAAAAAAATAAATAAAACAAAAAAAAATAAATAAAAACAGAGAGGCTAAGGCAGGAGAAGAAGGAAGTTGGTAATGGAGAGAGTGATTCTTTCCTTCAGGATTCTAGAAGATTCTTAGTCATATTGTATACCAGAAGACGATATGGAGTTTGTTGATGTTAGCATGAGGTTGTATACCGTACTTTGATGCGGTAATGGGGAGATATTAACCGTATATATAGGACTCCATAGAAGAGAATTCGCATACCTTTTAAAAGCGGTCTCTCGATAAAGCATGTTTGGAACACCTGATGTTTAGACACACTATAGCTTATTTCCCCTTATGATTTAACAACCTAATGTTTACCTGGGTTAGGTTAGGTTAGGTTAGGTTAGGTTAGGTTAGGTTTATGGTATTTAATCACCAAGAGAAATAAACAGGGGTATCAAATATTCAAGTGATTCGTAGGTACAGCACGACCGAATCTGACTGACTCGCTCAATGAAGCACCGACAAAAAGATGGCGACCTCAATAACGCGTAAAGTGCACAAGACTCTACCTATGTTTTCTCTCATTAAAATACAAACAAATATAGGCATAAAATCTCTAGCCGAGGACTTTGAGACTAACATATAGAAGAAATTTTGACGCCATTTTTAAAGGTTATCTCTGTTCTTTGAGTCAAACAGCTACGTCCATTCTTTAGAGTCTGGTCTTTAACTTGAGTCTACCAGTTAAGTGCGTTCTTGAATTTTTACCATAAGAACCTTCAAGAATCTCCCTCCCTCCCCCCCCCGCCCACAACCCTGCGTGACAACCATTACAATTACCTTTCTTTCAGCAGCAGGGAGAACTCCGTCTTCATTATCCCAGTGACCAGATCCCACAAATGGATTTCAGGCGCGAAAATCCCATTATTTTTCTTAGTTTTGGGAACACGCTCTGGCACACACGGTCAAAATTTGGTGGAACACAGTAACATGTCTTCATAGGTGAGGGAAATGTGATTTATGACCCCACAGTATTCATGACACATAAATGCGTTCATATATGATTTAAATACAACGACAATACATTTTGTAGATAATACATATTTACATATTTAGTCTTGAATATCAATATGAGTTCAAAAATGACGGAAATTCAGTCGCACTCAGTATCACGCATTCACAACTGAAAAATAAATTATCTGAAAACAACAGACGTTCAGTGCCATAGTTTCAGTTCTAACAGTGGGTACAGGCATTCATAAACGATATACCTTTTTGTTCAGCATAACAAACGCCTGAGAGAGAGAGAGAGAGAGAGAGAGAGAGAGAGAGAGAGAGAGAGAGAGAGAGAGAGAGAGAGAGAGGCGGGTTACAGTACAAAATTAAACTTCCTAAAAGCAGCCACAAATCATAAAGAAGCATCTGTGTTTTAGGAGCGGTAAAACACGTCAGATTTACGAGGTACAGTATATCTAAGCTGGGACAAAGTACTATACATCTTTTCACGCCCAGGAAAAGAGAAAACTCCCTCAAGCAGAAAAAAAAACATCAGTCAGTCAAACAGGAAAGACAAGCACTGATCTGACTAACACAGCCCCCCAAAAATGGAATTAGGTTAGGTTATAGGGTGACATACGAAGCTACACTACCAAGATTCTCATACGATCATACGACAACAAAAATCCTCGTAAATGAAAATGTAAATAAAGACAAAACCCTTAAACTACTTAAGATAAAATACCAAAAATAACGTATAAAAATAACATGCCAATTACACCAAAACTACCTTAACTAGATCTATCCACCTGTCCAATTAAAACACGTTAAGAAAAAGAACGAAAATATGCAAAACCAATACTAAATATTCTGTAAGTTAATTTTGTCACTTAACTAGTACTGGGTGAATATATGTCTAATTAAAGTCAAGTCTCAGTACTATTTTAAAGACATTTTCGGAAGCTATGCCTGTGCTTTAACGTAAGTCAACGCGTTATAGGTAAACATTATTTATATTTTCACTTATGAGGATTTTTTTGTCGCATGATTGTGTAAGAATCTTATTTGGTAATTTACACCACGTACAAAGTTGAAGTCAAATATATCACTAAAGCTGTGTTGGTTTTGGGTGAAGTAGATTCTTAATGTAGAGTATGATGAAATAGACTCTTGTTTATGATTTTGTAGTGAGAAAGATATTACCCAACAGTAATATATGATACCACTACCACTATCATCATCGTCTATCACTATCACCATTGCTTACCACTACCACATCAGCTACCACTATCATCATTGCCTACCACTCTGCCACTACCACCACTGCCTATATCACTACCATTATCGCCTACCACTATCACCATCACCTACCACAACATTCCTAATACACCACTGCTATGTATTGTCACACCACCTCGACGCAACCACAATCAATGTACTTAAACGGCATCAACCTACGTACCTACCTACCTACCAGCACCCACCACAATCTACCTACCAACCATATAGCGTGCAGGTAGTGGCACACACACGCACCCAGGATCGATGACTCGACCACCACCAACCGAACCATCACAAGACCTTTGAAGTCGACCTGTACACATCACACACACACTATCACACATTATTTGCGGCAGTCCATCGTAGACCCATGACTACGTTGCTTCATGTGGCTGTGTAGCAGGAGCCGCAGGTGGGGCCGGGGTGTTGTGGGCCTGAAGGGTCGGCTCCTGCAGCATATTGGTGTCGTTGGAAGCGCCTTCATGTCCTCCTCCAGGTACTGGGAGCCTCTCATACAGGTAGACCGCCACACAGGTCACCCAACCTCTCCACACAAAAGTGCTGTAATGACAACATTGCTAAAGCTGCCTCTCGAAAGCTGGGAATGTTGTACAGATGCCGTAGCTACTTCACTCCTGAGCAGTTGCTTCAAGTTTAGAAGGGATTCATTCGTCCTAACTTGGAGTACTGCTGTTATATCTGGGGTGGCTCTTCTTCTGTCTAACTGTTATATAGGGTGGAATCAAAGGCATTTTGTCTTATTGACTCTCCTCCTTTAGTTAACAATCTTTCTTCCCTTTCTCTTCGCCGCAATGTTGCTTCCCTCTCTCACTTTTATACAGGTACTTTAACGGACAATGTTCGGTGGATTTGGCATCCTGTGTACCGCTGGCAAGGCCGTGGGCTCGTAACACTCGTCTTGCCCGCGATGCCCACAGTTTCTCTGTGGCTGTCAGTCACACTATAATAACCCGTTATAATACATCCTTCTTTCTTCACACAGTCAAACTGTGGAATGCTCTGCTTTCTTCTGTGTTTCCATACTCATACAATCTGTCTCACTTCAAAAAGCTGGTTTTCCGGCACCTTTTTCTTTTCAATTTTTACATTTTAATTTTTTTACAGGTCGATGACCTGTGCCCGGGTGGGCTATTCCCCGTAAAAAAAAAAGACAAAAAACAGTCAATAGGGATGCAAAAACACACGCATAAAATCAACAGGATTCTTAACGGTAAGAAGCGGAACATCAACAGCAGCATTAACAGATACCATAACAGTAACAACAGTGTGTGGTAGACCAGGGTGAGGACGGACGGACGGAACAGCACAAGCCAGTATACCTTCACAACAGCCGCCAGAACAGCAGCGGGGCACTGGGTTCAAAGAGGGGGGAGGGGGGAGAGTGGGAGGGAGAGTGGGAGGGAGGGAGGGAGAGATGGAGAAAGAGGGAGAGAGGGGGGAAAGGGGGAGAGGAGAGAGGGGAGAGGAGAGGGAGGGGAGGAGGAGAGGAGGCAGGAAGTTCAGGTCGTCTGTCTGCTTTCCCCCTCCCCTCCTCCCCCTCCCTCTCTATCCCTCCACTTAACACCTCCCCCTCCTCCTCCTCCCTCAGCTAGCCAAGGACATCCTCACCATCTTGTCCCTCCTTTACTTCCCTCCTCTCCTCACTTTCCTCCTCCATCACCTCACTTCCCTCCTTCGTTATCTCACTTCTCTACTTCCCTCACTTTATTACTTAACTCACCTCTCTGTTAGGACGAGGGCCCAATTTCGACAGCTTACTACTGGGGCCTAATAAGCTGGGGTCTATAAGGACTGGGGCTCATCTAACCTGCAGTAACCTGATTTATGTCAATACTGTGTGTGTGTGTGTGTGTGTAGATGGGTTTGTTTGTATATGTACAGTAAGTCAATGAGTGTACATGTCTGTATACATGCATGTGTGTGTGTGTGTGTCCAAGGCAAGATCATTAACGAGTAAACCACCAGAATATAGACAACAGCAGGAAAATGAATCGTTAACCTTGGCCAAGGGGGTGGAGGAAGGGAAAGAGGGGAGGGAAGGGGGGAGGGAAGGGGGGAGGGAAGGGAAGGGCATGTGGCGGTAGACAAGTTCCTTCGTCATAACTTGAAGCTAAAATTCCAGGACTGCGCTGTAATAGTAACTGTCATTAACATGTAATTACTCGGGATAATATTACGTGTTTTGTACAAGACTAGAAATATCCTCATCCAAGGTCATGTGTGTGTACATTAAACTTCGGAACTTTTATCCCCTTAAATATAGACACACATACACACACTATAGTCTACACGATTCCTTAGGGGATAATAAACTTTATAAGCGCGACCCTTAAATAAAGTGTAAGGGGTATTTTTCTCCATTAGGGTGTGTTCATTTCAAGGGTGACTCACAGATTAAGTTAGATTAGGTTAGGTTATGTTATGTTACGTTAGACCAAACTATGTTAGTTTATGACAGGTTAGGTTACGTTAGGTCACGTTAGGTTAGGTTAGATTCAAGGTCAGTAATTAGTGAGCCCTCACGGAAGACGCCTAAGTCCTTGACATATCACCAAGACAAACTATTATTTAACCCTGTAATTCATCAACACACAACACAGTCACGGATTCTGTCTCCTAACTCCGGTTAAAGTGAACGTATCCAGTTAAGAGAGAGTCTCAATGTAACTAACAGGCCTTCTTCGACATTAGTTCCGTCCTGTAGCTTCAGACATCCAGTTAAAAGCATTATTGTATCCTCAGCTTGGTGGAGGGAGGGGTAGTGGGAGGGGTAGGGGAGGGGGAAGGGGTTGGGGAGGGGGGAGGGGTAGGGGAGGAAGGGGGTAGGGATAGGGGGTTGGTAGAGGGACAATTCAAGGCACGAACCTCTGAGAATCCGGAGACCAGGTCGATTTGTCACGGATGAGTCAGTTCATGTTTTTCCTTTCCTGGTGGTGAGAACATAAGCATCTAACTTATTTACGTCAGCTGCGACACAAAGATGGTGGTTCGTGGTGTTAGGGCAGAAGCAGCAACATAACTCCTCACTATAGCAAGGTATTTTGTTTTCTTAGTTCAGCAGAAACAAATGACGTCCGAGGGCGTTTTTGAGTTCCCGGATTTAACGTTACGATCTGATGCATGAGATACGAACAGATATGCACTGAGGCTATTGGAAACAACGTAGATCATTGGTTAACCCGACGGCCTGTAGCAATGAGGAACTAATACAAGCTGGAATATCATTGGTTGATTCTACACCCTGATGGGATACGAACCGAAGACATCGAGTCACAAGGCCTGCCGAGATACAAACCTGGAGACCTTAACCTAATTCGATTATAAACAATCTACGGTGTGTGTGTGTATGTGTGTGTGTGAAATAACATCATCACAGAGGCTATACCTTACTGCCTGTTATCTGCGTTCGTTAACAAGCTCTATGCTGCCTTCTCTGACTGACTTTCTGATAGGAGAGGCTTCTGAGGAGGGATTTTCTGGAGAATGTTTTCTCATCAATTTTTTCCCCGCCAGCCTCCCGCCCTGCACCAAGCCTATACCAGATTTGTAATAGAGATGTCCAAACGTGTTAAGTTGTTTATATGCAACAAAAACAAGCCAAACAAACAACTACAAGTATCACAAACACTTCACAAGCACAGGGCCAGGGTGCGTGATGCTCATGTTTGTCTGAAACGAATAATTATAATATTTTCTAATTTTCAAAAGTTGTTTACAGTCTGCCGTAGCAGCTGACCTTGTGTTCTGCGCTCACAACAACAACTGCTCATAATTTTTATAAAAGAAACTTCAACTAACATTGCAGGGGACTTGTAGATCGCCCCCTCCCCTCCCCCTCAACCAAACTTCAGAAAATTTCTCCCTCCGTCGGAAAATTTGATGAGAGAATGAGATATTTATTAACCCCGTAAAGTGAAGCTGCGGGGAGGAGGTATAACAATCATCTGGTCGGTGGTGGTGACTGAACGTGTCTATCTGTCTGAGTCCCTTGCGAGAAACTAAGATACTCTGTGACTTGTACCCAAAGGACGTTCCCTCAATCAAGACCATGGAACACAAGTAAGAAAACTCTACACGCACCGCTGAACGCCTGGGAGTATTGTTACACGGTGTTGATCTTCTTGTCTGTTTCTTCTGCCGACGATGGGAGAGTTTTCAGCAGTTTGATTATAGTTAAGACTTAGAGAGCAATGACTAAACAGTGAAAGCTATACTGATAAATTTAGTTGAGATTTAGGCTAAAAACACGAGAAAAAAAATCCAGAACACCAAAAAAACTCCCGGCCTGTTGTTGACTATACAGAACTGAATTACATTAAGGCCATAAGACTCACCTTATGTTAGCAAGAGATAAGTCGTTCTTCAATACATCTGTGTGAATATTGCGTATACGTCAAGAAGCCCAATTGGTTATTTCTTGCGTCTGTTGGCCCGTCAATTTGTCTCCGATCTGTAAAAAATAAATGAGGGTGAAATAGGCCTAAAATTAATGTCTATCTTGGGAATAATTTTTTGCCCCTCCCCCCCCCAATGAAACTCCCTCCGCCTCCCCCTCCTCCTCCCCTCCCCCCCAAAAAATGGATTCGCTACTGTATTTAGGGGATGTATTTCAGTCTGTATTTCTTCCCTCTCAACAAATAATAAACATACAAATTATATATACAAGTTAGAATTATCCGTAGTTCTAAAATTCAGGATATCGTTCGGTTAAAGTGAGTTGTTAACCAAAAGTATAGAAAATATATCCAAAGTAATATAACATGTCATTTACAAATTATGAATCGTTTATCCCCGGAAGATTAACATATCACAGGGTAATTTTAATGGTAAATATATATATATATATATATATATATATATATATATATATATATATATATATATATATATATATATATATATATATATATATATATATATATATATATATATATATATACACTGCATGTGAATTTACTCATTAAAAAATATTAAAATTAATTGAGAAATATTATGAAAATGGAATCCCTCACAAACGTAAAATTAAAATATAAAGGAGAATTAAATTGTTAAAATATTATATAGAATAAATGATACAAATAATGATATAAAAACCATAAGGTATCAATAAGTGTTAGTGTTAAAAAGTTTAACTGATTCTAAAAAAATATACGGTCATAAAGGTATAGTTTTAGAAGGTATACACTCATTAAGAAAGTAGACCCGAGGAAAAGTTTGAAAAGTATTCATAATATTGATAAATTACAAGACCCTGATTGTATGAGCTAAACAAAATATATAATTATAATGAAAAAAGAAGTATGGCCGCGGGTATAGACTGGTCAGGAGGCAGCCATGAACATCAGGTGTGGGCGGTGACGTCAGAGAGGCCTCGCATAAATTACCTGGGAGACTCGCGCCAAGACGGGGAAAAAATGCGTGACGTCAGCTGGCGCCAAAATGTCAGCGGCTGTGGTCAGGCTGGTGCTGACATCTAGCGTCGACTTGTTGAGGCTCAGTAGACCAGCTGGCCGGTGCCGGGGATACTCGTGCCCGTTTATTTGTCCGTCTACATATTGGCCTGCCTTCCCACTTGCTTGTTCGTCTGTCCGTCTGCCTGCGTATTCTCCTATCTACCTGCCAGCCTCTCCGTTCGTTTGTCTGCCTGCGTATACGTTCGCCTACCTGCTGCCCTCAAGAAGACTCCAACTAATTCTTTCAGCTTCTGTTAGTGAGGGCGGGGACTCACTGGCAGAGAATCATATACTGAATAAGTCACGGTCAAGGCAGTGTGAGGTAGGGGGGGGGGGTTACTGGTTGTCTTGAGGAGGTGACGGTGGAGGAGAGAGAGGAGGTACAGTACTGCAGCAGGGAGGGAAGGCGCAGCAGATGAGAGCAACGTTGTAAATAAATAAATAAATAAAAATAAAACATTACACAGCACAGACCCCTCCAATGTATCGAAAGAGAACTACTATGAAGCTGTTTACGGTGCCTCAAGTGCCTGGGTTATTAAGCGGCACTCACTGGGTCTTGCTTCCGTACAAGATATCTTTTGGAAATGATTAAATATCACCTTTTGGGCGTCTAACTTGCTTTAGGAGCTTCAAATAACACGGCCGTGATAATGCACTCCTGGTTTAGAGTTTCCGAAACGCGATAAATTTTATAAGTTAAGGAAGTTGTTTCTACTATTTCAGGATTATCATACTGTAAGGTGCCTGTATAGCGCACGTGTGAAGACCTGTAGGTTATAATTATAGTGTATGGGGTTCCAGTGTGCGTGTGTGAGGGTAGGCACTTGTGGTACGCTCTGTTATACATTGGGCCATTGGCTGTCAGGTAAAGTGGTAAATATTGTTAATTCTTCCACAGTATTTGGGTCCACTACCGTACAGCAGAAGTAGATTATAACGCCAAGACAACAACAACTGGGAGTAACAATATCGACAGCCAGATCTACTGTACAAAGGAAGGAATAATTATAAATTCAATTAATGTTTTGCTTAATTTTGTAAAAGCAGTCAGTTATGTTGTGCAGAGACTTAGTTAACAATGCTTCAAAAATCCTGGAGGTGCTCAATCATGTTATCACCTAAAAGTAATATAATTAATTTCTGATAACCAAGTGATACACTGAGCTGTCCTCTGAATTTATAAAGTTGTCAGATAAACAAAGTCACGATGAACAGTGTATAACAACCCTGGCAGTTCAAACACCTGTATAAAAATGTTGTTATTCGAGAAAAAAACATTACAAAGTCATTATGTAATCTATTAATTATTTTTTATGTTTACGTAAAAAATCTTATTTGGGAATGACAGACAGGACGCCAAGGTGTAGTAAACTAGAGCCCCAGACCCTGGAGGGAGCGCCGGTCACGCCTCCTATCAACAAAGAGTTCTCAAACCCAAACAAAGAACGTGTGGGTGTCGCTAGGCGGGGTGCCGTGTACGATAACACAAAAATCAACTCCCCCCCTTCCCCCACCGCCGTAGCCTTCGTGCATACTGCAATGAAATGACGCCCCACAAAGTGTTGCCTTTCGTACACTACCTGCCAAAACGTGTGGATGAAATCAATCGCGAGTTACAGGTATACTGGGTGTTGTTCCGCTCGCTCGCCCACCACCCGCGTTCACCTCAACACTCATCTTGTTGACACTTTGGAAATACAAAAAAATAGTCACAACTTGGATTACTGATACCTTTTGTAGCCATTAGCCGCTTGACTGAACTGCCGTGACCCCAAGACCAGACGAAAATATGAATTCTGGTAAAAAACATGAATAGTCGAGCCAGTTCGGTGACATCTCCATGATTATAGCTTAAAATGCACACTCAATTTCGACACATTAACCGATTAGGCTCATGATCCAGAGGGGTGGGGTAAGGAATGGCGGGAGGGGAAGGGGCACTGTATCGGTCCCCCTTCACCTCCCCTCGCCTCCCCCTCCTTTCCCCCTCACGAGTGTGTGTAGAAATTGACTGTAGTAACACTTTATTTTCTATCCCTCACTCTATGTGTGTTTTTAGTGTCAATAAATCTGTACTCAGTCTAACGAAAAACAGACAGGATACTAACTTGGGATTCACTAATCTACTGAGCCGAAATTGGAAGCTGTTCATATCTAAATTACCTGGAAAATAACCTAACCTAACCTGTAACTAAACCTAACTTAGTCTGAGCCTGACGTAACCTAACATAACCTAACCTTACTTAACCTAGTCTACGCCTAACGTGACTTAAACTAATTTAATCTATGCCTTACGTTACTTAACCTAACCTAACCTGTAATCTAGCCAATGCTAAAGAAAACATATATTGAAATCCGAAAACTAACTAAATTTGTTGATAAACCTGATCGAGAGAGAGAGAGAGAGAGAGAGAGAGAGAGAGAGAGGTCACTAAAAACATTAAACCTGCACAAAAAAGAACATAGCGACATTCCTTCTCGCCGACACCAAATCATATAACTCCAACGATTCATTTTCCGGCCATCAGACACGTATCGTTCACTTTCATCTCAACGACTGAGACATTTTCGGCGACTGGATTCTGTGGCGAATTTCACTGAGGTACAGAGAGGGAAAGTGCAGCGTTGGCGGGAGACTTGAGAATTCGGGTTAAGTTTGTTGACGATATAGAGTGCGAATTAGGAAAAGTTATTGACAACGAAGATAAATAATTCTAATTGAAAATAACACAGAAAATTTATAGATAAAACACATATTGTTTACATAAATTGTTAAAAATATACATCGTACTATATTTTACGAATTATACAACAAACTGAAATACAACACGGGATATTTTGAGGTAATCGAATAGCCATAAGACAAAGGCATATACTTCATCACTGACCGGACTCTTACACATTTATACAGTCACACGAGATACAAATAACAAGTATAAAACAAGTACACTGTAATTCCCACACGATTACAGTAACAGTATAATGGAGGCGATTCCTTTAAAAGATACAGCACAATTACTTAAAGATATCGGTAAAAAAAAAAGGTTTAGATACACAATATTCAAGCCACACGTTACTCCTACTGACATCACAGAATGGATAAAATGTAGTCCCCTTCACTAGTGCGTTTACAGGGGCTCGTCAGGTTTTGTGCAGTGTAGCAGCGCTGTTTGTTTACATTCGACAGAAGGAAACTCGCAATAGTAAACATACAATGGAATCAAAGTAAAACAATATTAAAACAAATATGTACCATACGTGTACCAGAGATTGTACCATAATATATCAAAACCTCGAGAATACATACCAGGCTGTACCATACATACCAAATTATACCACACTATACCATACTATACCATAATATACCAGAGATTGTACCATAATACACTAAAGTCTCGAAAATCACTTAGTCACGAAAATAATTAACTAACGACTCAGGTAAAGCGGCCGTAATAACTCCATAGACCAGGTGTGTTACTCAGCATAATCTACCTGGCCGAATCAATACCCTCTTTTTTATGTCTAAATCCGCCGAGAAATGACAATATTTGGGGAACAGCATTACAGGTAGGCTATTCGGATATGTCATTGAAATTCTTATATAATGTATGTTTAGAACCGCGATGGACATTTGTAATCGGTATATAAAAATATTCCCCAAATATGTTATGAAATATTAAGTAAAGCTGAGAATAAAATTGAATGCTTTTAATTAGTGTACAGGTGTATAAAAGTATATGTTACCTGCTTATCATACCTGCTTTTGTATATTGAACTTACAGGTATATGATGCATAGCACACCTGTTTCCGTACAATGCACTTACATACACATAATTGTCAAAATTTTATTAGCCCTTGCTTCATCTTTTCGTAAGCACCTCAAGTGTTTGGGTAAGTAAGTAGGTCACTGAGGGTATTTCATAATCTAAAAAAAAAAAAAAATTCTGAACCTAGGAGTAAAATGTTGTGTTCGGATCAGACAGCACCTCCAAC